GTGTCATTCTATCTGCTGATCTCTCCTGGTCGTCTCATATCTTGGCGATTTCTAAGAAAATATTCCGTCTAACCTTCTACATCAAGAAGTTAAAACATTCAGGTATAACCCAAACCTTACTCCTACAATTCGTTAACTCTCGCATTCTCTATTGTTCCCCCTTAGTTTTTCCCAGGCTACTGAAGAAAGACTATACCTTATTACGCAGGATGTTAAAGGTTGTCAGCAGGGTAAGCAACGTGCCACTTAACCAGCTTGTTAATATTCTGGTTGACAGGCACATAGACTCATGTGAAAAATGGGCCAAATCCATTTTATCTAACTCACACCACCCTCTTCACTCACAACTCTCCCCGTTCATCTCATCAGGCAAAACCAGAAGCCTGTATAGAAAACTATATGCTCGCACTAGCAAGTACAAAAACTCAACCATACCCTAATTAGCTCGTGTTCTGTGCGATAAAGAAAGCATTAGGCATGACACCCATAACTCATTAAATAGTCAGTAGAACAACTGGATCTCGTCTTTCCAACCCACTTCATCAATAGGTACAACATTTTCTTTCTTTCTTTTCCTCTTCTCTCTCTCTCTCTTTTTCCATTATGTACTGCTTTGTTTCTTTCTTCCGCTTACGCCAGTAAATATGATAGCACCTACTTTTCTAACATCTTCAAACACTGTTCAACTTTGGCTTTGCTACCGACATGCCAATGTGTTGTTGTAATAATGAACTGAGATTTCCTTAATCTATGTAGAATTCTATTTTTATTGATAATGTACTAACTGGATGCAATACTGTAGTAAAAATGCTGAGAATTCCATTCTGTATCAAATATACTGTTTTGGAATAAAGCAAATTATTAATATTTATTTTTTTATATTTTTGGTTACAGCTTGATTCCACACCGTATTTTTTGCTACAGGTATGGAATTTTCAGCATGTGATATCGGTAGCCCAAATTTTGCAGGCCGACCATAGATATCAGGTGTGCGTTAGCAGGGGATCGAACCCCGGACCATATGCATGGTCGGCGAGAGTCCTAACCACTGTGCCACCGACGCACAGCTAATTTTTGTGTAGAGCATCAAAACGAAAAGTGATGTTATAACCCTTTGAAACGTTTTTCCATAGAATAAATAATTATTATCTTGCTAGCAAGTACCTTATTCGTCATGAAGGACACTTGTTACGAAAGTCGAAGACTCGGCGATACATGTAAGTGTTGACTACAACAGTAGAGATGTTTTCAGTTCCTGTGATCGTCTAATTATTTTGTTATTCCTTAATTGTATGTCTATGTTTGATGCCGTCACTCTGTATCACCTTTCTAAGGAGCGGAATATGCACATTAGATCACAGGAGGAAGAAAACTTTCTTTCCGACGGAATCCTCAACCCGACTATACATTCGTATATATATATATATATATAGTAAAGTGGTGAGTAAGTCCCAGAACTACTTCCAGTTGAGGATCAGATTATAACGATTAACAATATTACAAATAGGCATTAAACACATAATGAAAACAGAATAAGCAGGAAGTTCAGGGAAAAAATTATAGTAGAATAATAATTATTGAGAAAATTGACTGTTTATCATTGCCACGATAAAGATGAAGGTTGGACGTAGTTCTTTTGGAATGCATAGCGTCGCCTTGAATTTTTGGTTCCCTATTGCCCCCACTATTTCCAGATATCTTCATCCCATTCCCTTTGAAAGAGGCTTTTGTGGGATCCTTCATAAGACTTTTCAAATGGAGCTGAGTGTTCTGAGATCACGAGATGTTTTTTTACCAAATTATCAATACATCTAAGTTTTCCCTTTGCTAACTAAGTTGGATAGTCTTCCTGGTAGCGTTTTACTGGCGGATGCATGATACGCCCAATGTACTCAGTTCCACAAGAGCAAGTGAAATTGTGTATGATCATTGATGTGTCTCAATGCTACAGATTGCATTTCATGTCCTTCCTAAACAGTTCCTTTCAGGAAAATGTTACTTGTAGGCTAGCACAGAAGTATATTTGACTGAGAGGTTTTGAAAGTTACTTTAAGAGAATCCCTGCATCAGTATGATTTTTAAATTTTGAGATTCAGCGACAGGATGTTGTTTAAGGCAATCTAGACCTGTTCAACAGCTTTCTTGGATTTCGGACTCTTTCTGTGAATATCTGTGAAACCATTTCACATTATCATTCATCAGAAATTTTGTGGCTCTTCGCCAACAGATTCTTAGGTGCATATTTTTTGCATCCAAGATCCGATCGAACTTTCAAAGGCAGTGTGATCAAGACAACTGGGCGTAGCCGAAGCATTAGAGATTCTAAAATGCATTCAAAGGAAGTACACCCTATCTTTGTATTTACCAGTGTCATTATAAAATGTGTCTTTCTCAGCAAAAAAGTAATTATATCCGATTCTGTGTTTTACCCGAACCTTCTATTTACTTTCTTTATTCTTATTCTCATATTTTTAATCTTTATTTGTATTACATAATTTCATCGTGTTGTTCTTTATAATTAGACTTTTGATGGGAAATGATTTTGGAACTTTCTCATCCCTTTCTTATGTGTTCATGAGTGTACAGTCTAATTGATGACATCATTGAAAAGAATAAATTTTCTTGTACCATCATGGCTTATTTCGTTGGCTTCTCATCAGCTCAGCTGTTTGCTTACAGCCTAAATAAATAATAATAATTATTATTAAGTTCATGTACAGAAAAGTTTTAAAATACTTGCAAATTTTACATGATTTCAGTTGACAGAAATTTCCGAACTGAGTGAACAGTGCTCAGAAAATCACGCTTATATAGTTTTACACAGGGATTTCAAGTTTAAACAAACTAAATGTATGGATATTATGGCAAGGGAGTTACGTAATAAGGATGAGAGACGCGTAAAATACTAAATGACTAATAAATTAGGTAACAATGTACCGAGTTCAACTTAAATCATGGAAACAAGAGACAAGCAAAGTTACACAATATCAAGGAGGGTGAGGTTAAAGCCGAAGGCTACGCAATCAAATGAAAGATAGAATAAAAACACTCAGTTACCAGGGCATAGAAAGACTGATAACTGCTTCTTTCTGAACACATAAATCTGTTTCCTATCGTTTGATAGAAATTGCTTCGGCAAGGTTGAGGACAATCGATCTCCTTTGTCTATTGATAATTTTAAAGGATTTCGCGACTTCCACTTCCTGACCCGTATCAAGGAGATATCTGGTAATGGCACTACTGTAAGCGTTTGTTCCCTTGAGACATAGGCTTTTCGGTACATGTTTAGGAAATTGGAGATGTGCCTTTCTTTCTATTTTCCCAATGTAACTACTCCATCAGATACACGTAAATTTGTATACACAGTTGGAGTTATTATGAGAAGGGAGTATCTGTCGACTTTTGACTGCACCAAACACAATGTTGTCCGATAGCAGTCATCAATCTATTTCGGAAAGGGTTAAACCGTACTCACGTACCTCTCGTTTTTATTACGCAACTTCTTTACCATTGTATGCATACATTTAGTTTGTTTAAACTTGAACTTTCTGCGTAAAAACTATAAATGTGTAATTTTCTGAGCACCGTTTACTCATTTCGGAAATTCCTGTAACTGAAATCATGTAAAATTTGCAAGTATTTTAAAACTTTTCTGTACATGAACTTAATAATAATAATAATTTATTTAGGCTGTAAGCAAGCAGCTGAGCTGATGAGAAGCCAACGAAATAAGCGATGATGGTACCATATTATTCTGCACAAACCACTGTTGTTCTTGCTTTATTCAAATTCATAAAGGGGATTGAATGTATGTAGTACATTTTCTTCTCTGTAATCGGTTTTTATTTTCCAAGGAGTAGCATTTTGAAACTTTCGAAAGTTCTATATATTCACCACTGAATCTGTCTAGGTAGTTTTTATTCGTATCAGCCATCTTATACAACTACCACTTGTTATCAGCCTGCCTTAAAACAGATTTAACAAAGGAGTCTTCACCTGGACAATGATGAGATAGTCAAAGAGTTCAGTTGATCTTTAAAGACTGTTTCTTATTATTATGTTGTATGGATTCTGAGTTTGGGAATTAACAACTTGAACTACTAATGATCTGTAATACAAATACATCGTCAATATAGTTCGCACATAAGAAACACCTATCTTTACCTAAGTGAGGGGCAGTTTGGAACTTCTTTTTTTACCTCCCTACACACTGCTCATAATATCCTCGAAATCCAGGAAAAATCATCACTTATGCGACAAAATGTCGAGTGAGAATTTACACAGAAACCTAGTAGATGATAAGACTAACTGAAATAGCTTTCAGTTAGCAGACTGTTATTGATCAACAATGAGTAATGTTTGATGGTGAAATGGAAATCAGAATTTCTTCCAGAAGTCTCTGCACTACTAGTCCCAAGCTGTATCCAGCTGAGCTACAAGAGGAAAATGACCACCGAGTCATCGTTGCACTACAATCATCAGATGTAATACCCAGCTGTCATTTGAATGAATGATATGCTATTGCTAGTTTTATCATCACAGAAGCTAGCTAGTTAGGCCTTCGATTTGCTGGGATCAGATGGTTGGAGGCAATCGGCAGGAATCTTTGGACCTAGCTTTCGTGCTAGCTTGCCCTCCTCAACAAAGCACATCTGCATCCCTTCTAAAGTCCGAACCGGTGAAACCCACATGAAACCTAGGTCCAAGGCTTCCTGCCGACTGCCTCCAACCATCTAATACCAACAATTCAATGCACAGTGCACCTTGAAGGCGAGACACCTAGCATGCTGGCCACAGTGTGAAGTTGACAGGTAGAATTCAGTTTAAAGCAGAGATAGGGCTAGACACATTACACTAGTTACTGACTAGTGTCCAATAAAAAAAAACAGTTAAGTCTTCTCCTATCAGTCCTAACCATACTAAATTACAAAGAGAGATAATTTATGAAACAGACGTATGTATCTTATGTGAAGACAATATAAAGATGTTCAATAACTTACAAATTTTGATTGGTTCTTAAATTTGTATTACACAACACTTCAAAATTGTGTAATTCTACTTCCTTCCCATCATAAGATATGTAGCCTTTGCCTAAAGCTGCTGGCCACTTTCCGGGGATAACATCATCACCACTTCTACCACGAATTACATAGATACCAGGTGTAGCTTCAACAGCATGTGGAGGAGGTGTTTGATTAGCAAAACCAGGTAACCATGATAGGTGTACTTGTCGAGAGGTCATTTGAGGCCACATTCTAAAAGAATGAGAAGATAAGAAACACAATAGGAAGATTTTAATTACAGTTAACCCAGCATTAAGATAGTGATGAATATCTAAGTTCTGGGTGATTGAATTATTTATAATTTCTTGTTTAATTTTTTGTTAAACAATGGAGATTTGTAACTCATTGGAGAGATGGGAATTATTCGACGTTAGGTATTTTAACTGAGGACGTTTGAAAGTCATTTCGAATGGCATGATCACTACTGAAATCTAATAAATGATACTTAAATATCCATTGTCTATGCAAAGTTAATGCTAGATGGTTGCAGGAAATTAGGAAGAATTCATGGATATAAGTTTCAAGCTTACTGGCACTCTTCAGAACGGTGCATCTGCAACCACGAAGGAACCAATGTTTCCTCGAAGATTCAGAAATACGCCACCCACTGATGCAGTAAGAGATGCTACCACTGAGCTACTGAGGATCACGACTGATCCTCTGTAGGACTGTGACGGATGTGCATGTTTCTTAGTGTTAAGTGAATTGTATCAGTCAAGTTTATGATGCGTATGCATGTATGACTCGCCATTGAGGTGTATTTTAAGTTGATATTGAATGTTTTATAATTAAATTGATGCATATTTTGAGTTTCCTGTAAAAAAAACCCAGCAAAATTTCGTCGCCATCTGTGTACTTTGAAAACAACTAGCCACTTTCTACATGTCATCAGTTCGAGGAAGTAAGTTGCCAGAATTCAGTTTGATGAAACTGACACTGACTCCTCTGTAATAAGGTAGACTTCAAACAAGCGGTTTTTCTGTTACTTTCATCTTTCTAGCAAGAGCTACTAGCTGATGTCAGTGATGGCGAACTATTTATGCCAATCAACCATTTGTAAAATAAACACTAGCAAAGTAATAATTGAAGTCCTCTTCAGTAATTTTGTCTTTACGCCCTTCGTATTTAATATTTTATAATAATTCGTATGACCCAGAGACAACAGCGGACTTGATGACGCCACTACTGGAGAAGGTGTGGAAAGAAGGCAAAGTACCCGAGGATTGGAAGAAAGGCTACTTATTCAAACTACCAAAGAAAGGAGACTTAAGTCAATGCAATAACTGGCGCGGAATTATGCTCCTGTCCATCTCCAGCAGAATACTGAGCCGCATCATCCCGCAGAGAATCAAACATGCCAACCTGGATGAAAAACTTCGACCGGAACAGGCTGAATTCAGGAGAAACAAGTCATGCATTGATCAGATCGCCACATTACGGATCATCGTTGAACACAGCTTGGAATGGCAGTCAGTCACCTCTCTATCTCAACTTCAGCGACTTTGAAAAGGCCTTTGACAGCGTCGATCGAGAGATGATTTGGAAACTACCAGGCTACCATGGGGTGCCACCGACAATTATACACCTCATCCAACTGCAGTACGACAATGCTGCATGCCAAGTAATCCACAACGGGAAACTTACGGAACACTTCGAAGTGAGGACAGGAGTAAGACAAGGCTGCCTATTATCGCCAATGATTTTCTTGATTGCAGTAGACTGGATTATGTGACAAACAGCGGGCAATCAGGAAACAGGCATAAAATGGACACACACAAAAAACTTAGAGGATCTGGACTTCGCCGATGATATATGCCTGATTTCCCACAAACTGGAAGATATGCAAGCGAAAAGCAACAAGTTGAAAGAAGAAGCATCCAGAGAAGATAAGAGGGACTTCAGGTGAACATAGAGAAAACAGAGGTGATGAAGATTCCTGGCCAACACCACCAACAGCAACAACAACAACAGACAACAATCAGCATAAATGGGAGGAACCTGGAAGAAACAACCTCCTCTACCTACCTACCTGGGAAGCATCGTTTCAACTACAGGTGGACGGAACTGACGAGGATATCAAAGCAAGAATCGGAAAAACAAGACAAGCTTTCACTACTCTCAAGCCTGTGTGTGTGGAGGTCAACAACACTCAACATCAAAAATAAGATCCGGATTTTCAACTCCAATGTGAAGTCAGTGCTACTATACGGATCAGAGACTTGCACTGCGCGTCATAAAGAGCATCTCAAACAAACTACAGACCTTCATTAACAGTTGTCGTCGCTCAGTACTACTCAAGATCAGATGGCTGGCCAGAAAAGATCAGCAACAGAGATCTCTGGAAATGAGCGAACCAACTCAGCAGGAACCGATTGTACAACAAATATACAGGAAGAAATGGAGATGGATTGGCTGGCCATACTCTGAGGAAACAATCCATCAAGTGGCATCACTAGACAAGCCCTTGAGTGGAACCCGAAAGGGAAGCGGCGAGTTGGTCGTCAGTGCGAGGGTGGGTGACTTGGAGGAGGTCATGTGAAGAGGAGATGAAGGAGTGCGGGCAGACTTGGAGCCAGGTGAAGACGTTGGCAGAGAACAGAACGCAATGGAAACGTGAGGCTGAAGCCCTATGTTCCTCTAGGAATTAAAGGAAATAATAATAACCCAAGTTGCTGTACCCAAATGTAATACAGTATTAACAGATTTTCATATAGAATAGATGATGAGTTAGACGACTGATAGTAAACTGGTTAAAAGATTATTACAACATATCTACATAAATGTGCATGAATTCACACCTTAACGACAAACTCAAAGTCAAGAAAACGATTTGCCAGGATAGTCTTGAATGAATAAAATTAAGAACTTGGTGTTATTATTCAATAGATCTTAGCTACAATTCGCTTCAAAGTTATGCGTTTCATTTCATTTAGGACTCATCCCCTGAATGCATCTGTACCCCAACAGTTAAAATTATTTCTGGAGATAAATAAGTAAACGTCATTTCAAACACCAAAAGGGTTGATCACTACTACCCAATAGAAGCCAGATTGTAATTACATGAAAGATGTATTTACAGCTATCAGGTAACCATATATATCACAAAGGGACAATTATGCTCAGCGTTATAGTAATATGTGTTTTGGAAATAAGTAAACATACTAAACAAAAAATGAATACTTCTCATAGAAATGCTTAAACGTTATTCTTTTATGTTGACCGATTAAAACGGTAACTTTAAGATGTCATACAAGTAACCTTAAGATTACGATATATATTTTGATTAAGCAACCACATATATATGCCGCGTCTTTTGCTTAGCAAGCCTAGTTTTGTGTTTATCAGACAGATAGAATCCAGCTATCTGAAACGTGTTCTAGGCTATTAGCCAAATATTATATTGGATTTGATTGTTAGAGTTAGTGTGACGGCTGGAATACTGTCAGGGCTCCAGGACCGAAGCAGGCGATTGTCATAAGGGACCACCCATCGGGTGGTTTACTTGAATTCTCATCCACAAGGTAGCAGAGTAGCGTCAGGAGTTAAGTTCCCATGATTGATGGTGACCAATACAGGTTCACACAACATTCAATCCGTATGGATTCTGGAGCCCATTTACCTTATGGTAACTGCTTTTAGTCTGACCGCTATCCACACAACCTTCCTGGTATGGTAGAACATCCAGAAATCTAAGTCCCACCCAGCCAGTGTAGCCTGTTGGATCACTGAGGTATGCAAGCCCGACCACTGAGTCAAGGTAGCAGTTATCCACCAGGATATTGGATGTGAGGTCTAATACTAGTAACCAGTCATCTTGGATTAATTGGATGAGCCTATCAGCCAGGGATCCACAGTTATTTTTGATATAAATATATATGTCAACTGAAGAAAAGACAAGTATAAGACATACTTCAACTAGCAGTCATTGAATAAAATTAAGTTAGTTAACTTGATAACAATAAAACTTCAAACTTGTAGCTCAAGCATAAAGATTACATGATTGAAATCAAGAGATGAAATTACAAAAAAATGAGGTCAATGTCAACATATCTGTGATTCTCTGAAACTATCAACTTATCTTGTATAGAATAATTAAGGCAATAGACCAACCTGTGTCAAGAAACTAAGTTTACATGCGGTGCTGTGTAGTTATATATATATATATATATATATATATATATATATATATATATATATATATATATATATATATATATATAGATATATATGTAGGCAGATAAATGTATACACATTCTGAAAGCGTAGGTGGAAAATGATCTATTTGAAAACAATAATCCAGATAGCACAAAGTATGAACCAATCACGATAACGAGAATATGCAGTAAAATTTAGCGTAGGCTATGTATGAATCAGCAAAAACAGCAGCAATTCAGGCCCACAGACTCTTCCAGCCTTGCTGAATTTTTCATCTATGCCTTATGACACCTATATCACATTATGCATAGAAGTGAAAACTATTCATGGATGTTGTATACATGTTCAAAATACCAAAGTGATACTTTCAAAATATCCTTCTTTCAAGTGTTGATTTTTTTTGTATAGGGATTTTCTTCGATTGGTTGGAGGATTTCATCATGAGCTGACATCAGTTAGAGAACCACTGGAAAATCTGGAAGTACTGGATAGCTGTTTCATCCCAGTTTGGAATTCCTCGGCAGTACGCATCCACCGCCAGGTATCGAAGCCAGGGCCTTCTGGATTTAAGGCGATCTCGTAGACAATTCAGCCACTGTAATCCATTCCAATGGACCATGAATTCTAATACTTGAAAATTGATCTGATGCTTACTAGTGACTGGCCCTATACAGACAGTTAGTTACCTGGGGTTCTAGTGGGAAGCTGTGACTAGTAGAGCACAGCAGGTTGAAAGTGAGGGAGTAACTTATTGAAGAAGACATTGCGAAGCGTTCGCGCTATGTCATGGATTGGCAGAAGTTTGAATTCATGGGTTGGCCATCGGATAGGGACCCAGTGGCTTGATGGTCTACGAACCAGCTCGCCTTGTAAGCAGAAAGTCCTGGGTTTGAACACCGTTGGTGGATGTGTACGTACTGACGAAGAGTCCCAAACTAGGATGAAGGAGACACCTGTCCAGTACTCCTAGATTTTCCAGTGATTCTCTAACTGATGTCAGCTCATGATGAAATCCTCCAACCAAAATATCCTTTTGTCAACATAGGAATCAAAGTTTACCCGGTCAGAATAAATTAACACAGGTTGTTAATGAATAATAGTAACCTTCCAATACCTCTACCTATATAGTCTGAGAAGGTATGGAAGAGTGAAAACTTGATTTCCAAAAAGTAGGCTGAATTTAGTTCAGATTGTAGATGCTCTGATCTTTTGTTCATTATTTTTTTCAAGTGTTGGTTTGTAGGGATTTGATTGGTTACAGGATTTTCATCATGAGCTGACATTAGTTAGAGAACCATTGGAAAACCTGCAGGGAGTAATGGACAGCTGTTTCGTCCTAGTTTAGGACTCTTCAGCAATACGCACCCACCACCAGTGTTCGAACCCAGGACCTTCTGGTTACAAGGAGAGCTCGTATACCATTAAGCCACTGGGACCGGATCCAGTGGCCCATGAATTCTAACTTCTGCCAATTCACGACGAAGCGCGACCCCTAGTTAGTCGCTTGAATATGGTTATAAAGGGTTTACGTAAAAAAACACATTGTATTCTATGACATTAGCTGTACATTCGATATGTTGATCACTGACTGGAAATGTACCTTGGAGAAGGTTGTCCTGGAGATATTTATCAACATTTGGAAAGCGCTATACAGAATCACCTTAAGAAAAGTGAGGAGATATAGCCACTTATCATTGTTGTTTTCAGCCAATGTTGGAGTTAGACAATCTATTTAACTTTACCATCGGTGATATTCTGTAAATAGCTCTTAAGGATGTGTATGGCGAGATGGTATACATCTGCCATTTCAAGAAATAATCTTTGACTAAAATTTTATATTTTCTATATTTTGGTTTGTAAGGGTTTGTTATGTTTTTACGAGTTGATCACGGACTGATATCAGTTAGAGAACCATTGAAAACCAGGGAGTACTGAACAGCTGCTGTTTCATCCTAGTTTGGGAATCATCGGCAGTACGCACCCATTGGGATTCGAACCCAGGACCTTCCGGTTACAAGGCAAGCTCGTATACCATTCAGCCACTGAGTCCCGATTCAATGGCTCATGAATTCTAACTTCTACCAGTACTCCCTGGTTTTCAATGGTTCTCTAACTGATATCAGTCCGTGATCAACTCGTAAAATTTTATAAACGATTTTGTCTTAGTCTTCAGTAGTATACAGGTTACTCAAATCACATGAATATTCTTCCACCTAAGGAGACAGCGTTTGCTTTCGAAGATGATATTTTAACACAAAGCTAGAAGAACTTTTCTGTAATACGTGGCTTCGATGTTTCATACAGTCGGCTTGACAGTTAGTTACAAATTAAACCCACCAAAAATCTGTCGAATGAGATTAAAACTGGACGCAGACCAGGTCAAATATTGTCTTTTCATGTGTGTAGATGTTGGTATTAGAACAACATGGAAAACCTGTATCATACTGATGCACTTAGAAGTCTACTGTCGACAGTTTCAGTTAGTCAGATGTACTACTATCGAGATGGTCAGTTTGGGACAATAAGTCTGAAAATCGCAGTGGAATACATCCACCGAGATATATGAGCCTTGTGTTAGCTAGAAGAGGCAGGTTATTTGAACACACACCTGCAACAGAACGTCGGTGTGGTGATTACTTCTGTTAGGAGTGTTGTTAATCACAACAGAAAGCAAGCATATCAGTCTACCAGTCATAGATGTTCATCAGCGATAATTGTGATGATTTAGAAATCTGTTAGCAAATTAAATCCTACATATATTTAGTGAGAATAATTATTTAAACACCTTGTTATCTTATTTATAAATATAATTTTTCTCTTTTCCATCTATTTCGATATACCAGTTTGTATGCAGCATACCTTGATGCTCATGCTCTGACAAGTTTCTCTTTAAACAAGGAAACAAGTAAAGTATCCTAATCAGTATTACTCCATCATTATAGAACCTTAAATATGTTTCTTTTGAAGATGAAATATTCAAAAAATTTAGTTGTATTATGTTATAAAAAATGGATTAATTTCTAGGTAGATTTCTTTGGAAATCGACATCATCCACAGAACATTTGGAAATTAAAGAAGACTGGAATAACTTTCTCTGATTTTCAGTCTTCCGGTAAAATGTAATGATATTTACTCACTCACTCACTCACTCACTCACTCACTCACTCACTCAATCACTCAATCACTCACTCACTCACTCAATCACTCACTCACTCACTCACTCAATCACTCAATCACTCACTCACTCAACCACTCACTCACTCAATCAATCAATCATTCACTCACTCACTCACTCACTCAATCACTCACTCACTCACTCACTCACTCAATCACTCACTCACTCTTTCACTCACTCACTCAATCAATCACTCGCTCACTCACTCACTCACTCAATCACTCACTCACTCACCCACTCTTTCACTCGCTCACTCACTCACTCACTCACTCACCCACTCACTCAATCATTAATTAGATTGGATGACAAGAAAGCTATATATTGTCGAGCTACATGATATTAAAATCCCTGCCTGTTTGATTTCAATTCAGCGACTGAAAGTTAATCTGTTGACTAAGTAATCTGACAGCTCTCTACTATATTCATCACCATAAGTTCACCACAAAAAATCTAAAGATAAAAGCATAAAATTTCGAATACTTCGTGATTTTCATAAGATCATGGCAACATTTAACTTTAAAACAAATTAAATAAATCCTGAGAAAATTAATATTCAGCATAGATTAAAGTGTATGCAGTTACATCAATAGTAATCATACAATAAAACGTTGCGTCGGTGGCACATCGGTCAGGATGCTCGCCGACCATGCACATGGTCCGGGGTCCGATCCCCGGCCGCCGACGCACTCCTTTACCTCGCTAAACCAGAAATAAAGCTGGTAATGAGGAAAGGTTGGGCATAAGGCTAGCAGACGCATCCTGTAAAAATAAACACTGCTAAAGAAACTTCTAGCCTCTAGCTTGAAGCCCTATGTTCCATTGGGAATGTGAAGGAATAAATAAAATACAATATAACATTCAATTAAAATTAGAATTCACTAACCAAAGCAATAATTAGGCTCGACAGGTGTGTGTGTATGTGAGATGTTTGTTATATATGAACCAATGAGCGATCTAATTCATCATTAATTGGTTGAAAAAGTAAGCTAAAGTGAGCTAAAATGCTAAAATGTCAACGCTCCTCAGTCAATTAAGATCAAATCAAAAAGTAATTGGTGATTCGAAGAGTAGCCAGGTCAAGGTAAAAATTGATTATGATTTCCAGCTGAGTACACAAAAATATTCAAGAAGCTCGCTGGAATACATTATGTTGAAAATGACACCGATTCCTTCTCTCTGACAAGGTCAACTATGAACAAATGGTATTGCTATCATTAAGATATGTATGGCGTGAACAACAAGTACTACTCAAACTACTTAAAATATTTGATCTGCTTGACACCATCAATGGTAATCGAAAAGCCAAGCATAAATGCATGAATCTATATACTACTTATTGATTGAGATGAGCAGTTGTGTACCCCTCACATCAACTAGTGGTGTTTGTTAGCCAGTTCAGAGTAGTCTAAACAATGGAGTACCATTTAACTCGTTCAGCAGTGAGCTCATCAGCGATGTACCAGGTTTGACTTAGATCAGATATGCGAATCAGTTCAACTGTCCTGTTTCTAGTTAGTTATTTGGGGGAACTGGGCACAATGGTGATGAGTTCCATCCGAAATGAGCGAAACAGTCGTCTGGTGTTTAGGTCACTGTGATCTAGTTGCCTGTAGAGCATTATTGGTTGATGTAAGTGGTATATAACTACTCATCTCAATCAGTCAGTAGTATATGGTGTTATACATAAAAGTCAAAACAGTAATTAAGTCCCGTATTGGGTAAACTAGCCTCTGTCTTATAGGCAAGTCTAATATATATGCAGTGATACTTAGTTCATGATAGATCAATGAGTCGTTAATTCGAAGGTTATTGGTTC